GAGCAGTAAGGTGGAGTAAATCCTCAAGATTGCCTTGTCTCTTTGTCCCTGCCGTAGTTTAAGTCCCTGGGGACAGATCTATCACTGGGGAAAAGCAGCACCCTGGAGACAACCTTTCAAATCTACAGACACAACCTATAGCTCTATACGGCCTCCCTTTCCACAGGTCTTACTGCTGCTTCTAGTTTTTACAGCTTCTCCAAGAGCCTGATCTTTCCTTGTGGAAGCTACATTCAAGCCTCCAAAGTGAATCGTAATGAATGAAATGCTGGGTGGATATAGGGTCTCTAGTTATGCAGGCAGTGGGGTGGGATGGTGGTTTGAGCCTTTCTTCCTTCTTTATCCTTGTTCAGTGGCTTAGAGAAAAGAGTGATTAGCTTGTCCACATTTTGCCGAGTGCGCCCGGGTCTTGAGTTACGAAGATAAAAGCCCCAACGTACTCTGGCACCGCCGCTTAAAGAGAGCAGATATTGTCACAGAGAGGAAAAACTAAACCTGGAGACTTAGGATGGAGACGTTAAGCAACGCGCAGGAATGTGTGTCGACAGACTTTTTTAGTGAGTTTAAAAACAAACCCGCGCTGGGTTGAGCGGGCGGCCTAATTCTTGCCAGTATAATGAGCAGTGTAACCTTCGCTGATGGACAAAGAGGCCTTTGAGGATAGTGTTAGCTCCGGTAATGAAACTCTGGTGAAAATCACAACCTGGGGGATCGACTGCTGCAAGCCTTCTGTCAGTCTTGGAGTACCACGAAAGATCTTTGGCCCAGGCAGTGCCCAGGATCTAGCTGGGGAATCTAGCTTTGTTTACATTGCATTTCAAGCTACTATGTTCAGAAGGGAATTTTGTTTCAACAGTAGACCTGTTCTGTGGATGCCAATGATGAAGACTATCACTGGGTACAGCTAGATCTTATTTGGACTAGCGTTGTCACGGTACCAAAGTTTTGATATAAATACCAACATTTTATAGTAATTATTATGATCAGTATAAACAATACTGTGGCAAAAACTTAAAAACAAGCATCACAGTCTGAACACCAAATGTTCATTAAATCAAACAATTTCAATCCATATGTTTACATCTTAATTAACACGTCTGTTTTTTTGTTAATTCAGTTTCTTTTTCATCAATACAAAACTCTTCAAAAGTAAACTGCCAACCTGGTGCTATCATTTTTAGTTTCTTTTTCAATTTTTCCTCAATTTTCTCCCAATTTAGTCATATCCAATTCTACCCAATAGTTAGGACTCCCCCAATCACACGATACCACCAGCACTAGGAGGGCGAAAGCTAGCACAGGCTTCCTCCGAGATCTGTGAAGCGCCACTGCATCTTTTCGAACTGCTGCTCACGCAACGTCTTTGGACAGCCGAATGCACTCAAAAGAAAGCGCCAACCGCCAGATCTGTTATATCAGCTAATAGATGCCTGCGCTGACCAGCATCACACTGAGTGATGGGGGGAGATACATGGGGGACAGTACATCCTACCCACCCAGAGAGCAAGGCCAATTGTGCTCTCTTGGACTCCCAGCCACGGATGGCTGTAGCATCGCCAGGGCGATCTTTGTTTGGAAAGTTAATAGTATTTATTGTTTACAATATCGCTGTTCTGTTAAAGTGTTTAACTTTTGATACTTTGTGCAAACTAATCTGGGCAAGAAATTTAGTTCCAAACCTGAATATATTGTCCTTGAATCTGACCCAACTCAACGCACGGCACCACGTTTAAAACCCGAATTAAGCTGTAGTTGGACAAAGTTCTGTTCAAACCCAACCAAAACCCGACCACCACCATGAGAAAAACTTCACATTCCTAAAAGTTTTTAGTTTCAATAAACTTTAGCCTATAAAATGCATGGTTTTCTGTTGACCTCATTGCCAACAACATGAATGACTCTAGCATATCAAATTAAAAATTGATTTAAGTTACATTTAAGTTTTGGGGATTTGGAGACTCTCTGGTGGAAATGTGTTAACATTCTGTAATGTTGTGCTTCAGAACCCCTCCTTAGATTGGAGGAATTTGATGAATGCAAGAGCATTGAAAGAGTATTCAAAGAGAACTGTTGGTGAAGGACGTGTCTTCTGAGAATGCCAGCAAATTATCTACTACTACATCTACTACTACTATCTACTACTACATCCTTCATCAGCGTAATGTGGATTTTGCATCTGAGCCAGACCTTCTTTTTGAGCCTGTGCGTGTGACATGACTACGTAAAGACAGAACCTGGCCTCAAAAAGTCCCGTGAAATTTCAACCCAACACCTCTGAATTTCAAATGCATATTTCAGCGTTTTAGGGTGACTCGCAGGACACCATATAACTCTATATATCATATCATCTGTCATATAACTGCAACAAAAACAGCTTACATTACGTACCTATTAGATTAAGTGACCCTTATAAGGCCCACAACAGGGAAACTTCACCTCTACATTTTACCCATCCGTGCAGTGAAACACCACATACACACTAGTGAACACACACACTAGCTGGCAGTGAGCACACTGGCCCAGAGTGGTGGGCAGCCCTACCCACAATGCCCAGGGAACAGGGTTGGGTGCCTTGCTCTGCCATGTACTGACAGCTCTGGGGATCGAACCAGCAACCTTTCGGTCACAAGGCTGGTTCCCTAACCTCCAGCCCATGACTGCCCTATGAGAAAAGTAAGGAGGAAAAAAACTAAACCTGGGGGAAATGCAGGCCGAAGGTGATGAGTTATGCAAAATTTCTGAAAACTATTAAGATAAAATCTGAAACCAAGCCAAGAAATGATGTTTGAACTTCAACAAAACTGGCATGCAGAGTTCTGACAGACATCAAGCTCTGCTGTGGGTCAAAGTTGGATTTAGTTAGGATTTTTCCTCTTACGCCAAAGATGAGCTGAGCCCTGTAGCTAGGAGAGCAGGGTAGACCTGCCAGGGTTGAGGATGAGGAGGCTGCTCTTCAAGGGGCACTGTCTGAGGTATGCAGGCTATGGCCAATGAGCTCAACCACTGTTAAATCCTATCAAAGGATTCCAGCCCGGTCCACTAGCAGGGCTAAACTCATACAAGGAGATGAGCCAGGGCCTCTGGCTGCCAAGCTGTTTGGGTTCTGCTCTCTTGTTACCAGGACAATGCAAGCTAGTGGACCTGTAAAATTTTCCCACCCAAGCCAAACAGGAGGAGGGATGAGCCTCTAAAAATGCTCTGTGCTCAGTGACGACAATTCAGACATCATGCATTATTAGAATATACAGCACAACTCAAACCTGTACCCTGCCTCTTAATTGAGAAGATGCTAGACAGAGTGTCCCAGAGCTGCTCATTCTACTACTTTACAGTCTTTTTGATGCCATATTTTAAGATGTCATGGTTAAAACTGAAAAAACACATCAAAATTAGGTAGTGCATTGTACCAGGACAGAAGTGATGTGTGTGCCACAAATGTTTAAGTACACTTTTATCACAGTTTTGTCTAGATGGTGGTTCTTTACTATTTTTATCTACCTGCTTGTTCAAGCAAATGTTTATTAGTTTTAACTAGCTTGCTTGAGACTTTTCCTCCATCTATGTGACACGTTTTTGGTCATGGTCACTGTAAACATACCTGAGGAAGTTCCACAGCTTAAGCTACAGTTAGAAACAACACTCCAGCGTCATAGGAAATCACTACACAGACACTGACTAGAACAAAGAACAATGCAGTGGCAGCACATCAAGGGGATTACAGCAAGTCTGACACTAAGCATTTTACAAGTTCCTAATTCCATAGTGGTTTTGTAGGAGCTGTAAAAGAACACAATGGCATGCATGAGTAGTTTCTTTGAGTGGTTCAGTTGTTTGTAATGCTTAGCACAACTGGACACTTTATGGTCCAAACATAAAGGCCTTTCAGATGTCAAAGGAAAGAATCCCTTGGTCCCTTCTCACAGATTTTATTTTATTTCATATTATATGTAGGGCCCTACTGGGGACACGGTGAAGTAGATTTTATAAGAACTGCCTTAAGAAAACCACAGTTTACAGTTAAACCCTCTCTGGTCACCACATATAATCTTTATTATCTAAGCAGTTTGTATAATGATTGTTTGAGAAGGTCATCTCTTTTTTCTTTCTTAATTACCCCTGAGATCTATCATTATGTTCACTGATTTTGTATAGTAAATGTCTCACTCATATTTTACATATGCAGTACTGTGCAAAAGTCAGAGATAACCCTTTTGTTTATTTAATTTTCAGTCAATGTGGCAATTAAACACAAGACATTCATTTTTCAACATCAGAAAAAAAGAAGTAAACATATTGTCGCTGTCCAAAAATAAAAAAAAAAGTATTTCCAAAATGGCAACTTTACAGTAGAAGGCAAAAATTTTCCTTACTTTTAATGTAAGTTAATATAAAAAGGTTTTGTTCCCAGCAACTATGGAGAATTTCTATTGGTCCATTCATCACAAAATTGTCAAACAATGTAAAATACAGCAGCTGCACTCAAATGAAAAATTATTATTTTTTTGGACAGCAGCAATATATTTACCAGAAATGTACACAAAAGTCTCCAACATTGAGAATAATATCAAATATATCAATACATTATTTGTCTCTCTTGTCATTCTTTACTCCTGAAAAGAACAGAAGCTGTGATAAAGGCAAAGAGCAAACACACTAATAACTGAAAATTTAGTTGAGTTGCTTTTGTTTATTTTTTTTTTATTTTTAAATTCTGTTTTCTGTTTTTCCCCTTGAAACCTTTGCACTGAAAAATGAATAAATGGTACTTAATGACTGTTCTGACTTTTGCACAGTACTGGAGACAAACCGAAATTACCAAATAATAATAATAATAATAATAATTACAATAAAAAACCCCAGCATTACTCAAATAAAAGGCTTTTCCACTTTGCCAGCGTCAGTGCAGAAAAAGACCTGTAATCTGGTAACATATTTATATATAACAACAGTGTGAAAAGAAGTTGTGACTGGACACAATTATAAAACAACACTGTACTTACGATACAGACATCCAGCTTCCCCATTGAGCTGTGACCATCCCGGACAGCACTTGTGCACAGTCTGGTAGTCCTGCCGATACACCTGTCTGTATGCGGTGTAGTACGCCGTCCTGCAACAAAAGGTAGATATGCTTTAGTATATTCCACTAATCACATTAACACAGTCTCCTTATCCCTTTATCATGCACCATTAAGACTCACTCTCAAGCCATGTGCCTCAGTCATCAGCTTTATATTAGCTTCTTTGAGGCCCTTTCTCAGAGTTGATTATGGGCTCAGTGTGTAAACGGGACTTCAACACTTGCCTTAGGTCATGTTTGTGGTTAGACGGCAAGTGAGAGACTTGGGCCATGACTAATGTTTGTGGATGAGCCTCAATGTGTAAAAGGCACAAAACACAAACAGTGTATAATTAGCGAAGCGTCTTTTGCCCTGAACCCTTTTATGTTGCTTTCTCAAAGCATGGGACCCAGTCCTGCGCTAAAGCCAGAGTTGCTGGCCCTGTAGTTTGGAGCCCTTGGAGCCTGGCTACATTACACTATGCTCACATCTCTTTGTTTATAGGTTCTAATTGCAGGCCTGGTGGCTTCTAAAAGCAGGGCTTAGCTCGCTAGTATGCTAAGTACACAGAGAAAGCGGGCCTGTGCAAGGCACCGAGGAACTTCCCTGAGTAGGGGAGGGGGTGGGGGGTCACAGGGACGGAGGGTGAGCTCAAGGCTCCTGCCTCACGGCTATGCTTGGATCTATTGGAGATGCCTGTCAAATTGCAGCTTTCTGGAAGAACGTGGCTACACCTTGCACTTTGAGGCCATAAGGAAAGACTTAAAGGCGCTGATTACAAAGGACAGATGAACAAAGGATGAGCAAAAGAAACAGAAAAATCCCAGTGTGTTTAAGTGATGGAGGATACAGAATGCAGCTTTGAGTGGATTATTTGAATCTATCTGTATCTCCAAAGCTTAGCACCATACTGTTACTGTGCATGCCAACTCTTGACTCTACAGTCTGATGAGACCAACCAGAGGGATTTTTAAAGCAAAGTCTTGGCTAAAAATCATTTTTTTAAAATTTTCTCCTTACACTAAATGCAGTTGTTCAGCATACACATCACTGGTGTCAGGGCAAAACCTTGTATCTCCATTTTTGTCATTTTTCATATATTGACCTAATTTTAAAATGACCAGCTGCCCTTTATGTTGTGTAAAAATGTTATGATGAATGGACCAACAGAAACGGTCCAAATTACTAAAGGCCATTACTATGTCTCCATTTACTTCCATTAAAAGTTAAGAACATTTTTCCTTCTCCTGTAAGGTTATTTTTTGGAGATACAAGGTTTTGTTCCAACAGCAGCGATAGGGACAACATTGGGAAAAAGTACAGAGAAAATTCAGGTTTTAAGGTCACTAATACTCTTTCTAGCTATGTAACATAAATTTTTCACTTCCATGGATAACAGTATGTCATACAGTGTCAGAAACCACATAAGCAAGTTTATTAGACATTTTTTAAATAGCTGTACATAATTTGAGGAAAGTCTGCAAAGATTTAAGCATACTGTTTGCAAAAATGCTGGTAGGAAATAAGCTTCCGTGACTTGTTAGCTACAGTAGTCTCAAAGCTCCAGCACGAAAAACAAAAAAAAACAAATGTTGAACACCAAACGTGATGGCTGAGCGATGACATTTGGGATTAAAAAATGAGGAAGACTTGTTCATTTTTTTTTTTTTTTCTGTCAAACTATCACTTTAAGTGCTGCATCTCAAGCAGATGCACTTAATTAGTTAAACAGAAAGACAGCCATTCAAGTCAAAATGAAAGTGCTTAGCCAGAAGGTGAGTCAGTCTGCCAATGTGAATGAAGTGTATTCTGGTTTCAGTGAGTCAACGACTGCACAAAAAAACACTTTTTGTTATTGAATAATACATTTGACATTAACCCTTAAAAGTTGGATGATGTCACAAAGTGTACAATTATGTGTACAGTCTTGATTTGAGTTGTGTTTGAGTTTTGATCTGTGATTTTTGCCATTTTTTGTAATTCTCTGACATTGAAACAACTGATCGATGGTCTCACCTCCTCTCATAGCCCATACACCAGGTCTGTCCCTGACATCCTTGCTTCCAAACTTTGACCATACGGGTGAAGGCCTGGACACAGGGCTGCATCTGAGCCACCAGTTTCACCTCCCGCTCCGCGCACACGTTCGGCCTGCCAGAGAACACATGAACAGACAGTGTGTCAGAGAGAGGGTTGCTTATGGGATTGATGAGTCACAATTAGTCAAGAAGTGTTTGTGTTGACCCTTCACTTTTGTTACATCTGAGCACCTTTTATATGAGTCAGACTAAATGTATCCTGAGGATAACAACAGTCTGCAAGATCCTACCTGTCACAAAGATTAATGGCACTGAAGATTTACAGTCTTGATTTTCTTACTGACTTACTGAATGACCCATCACTTCCTGTAACTTGGGTAATATCTATAGTCAGATGGCTTTAGAAACCAAAAAGTCAGCAATACAAATGTAAAGACACAGTTAAAGAAGCACTGAACACTTTTTAACCTACCTGTCGCATCTGTAACATATAGGAAACGTGTTAACTGTAATGAAAGCCAGTGCTCTATCCTTAACCTTCAGCTTCTGCCCATTCACTTCAGTCATTCATGTGTCCTTAATTCAACAGGTTTTCTGTTCTTTCTGAGTATTGAGAAACTGTTTCTGCTGTAACTGGCTCTACACTACAGATGCAGCAGATAAGCATAAGCCAGAGTATTACTTTAATCTTTATTGCATGACATGACTATGAATACGTTACCTGGTGTCTGAAACATTGTTTTATGAGACGTTTTGGCTTTAAATGTATCTTTAAAACGCAATTAAGGTAGAAAGGTACATGTAAGCTGTTGTAAGGCAAAATATTACCCAAAGAAAAGGTACTTTCTCAGATGTACCGCTATTTTGCCATTATCAACACTACATATAAAAACTCCTAAGACAGGTTTTAGATTTCACAGGTTTCACTGCTGGTTTTAGATACGAAATGAACTGGCTATATCTGCGTTGTAGACATCGCAACTACTGATTCCCCATCATGTAAAGAAATCTGAGTTTCTCTAGAATGGCACATTTCACATCTAACCATCTCAATGATTGAATTATGCAGATAATTTTGAAAAGTCCCCTTCAACTTAACTAGAGAATGTAGTTGCAGTCACAATGCTCATTCATGTCACCCAACACAGTCACACCAGAATAAAAAGGTGCTTCTCTTACATGTCCAGGTACTCAGTCCCCAAATCCACGACGCACTTAAAACTTCAGATTTCACGTTAATGTACACTTCTGACGTTATTCACTGGACATGGAGTGATGTGGTCACGCTGAATTGTCATATGTGGGCTCCTCACACACTATCACGTTATTTTTCTCTCACATTAGCAATTCTAAACTACACTGAATAATGGTGCTTTGAATGTACTATAAATTATATAAATTAATTGTTTCTACTAAAAGGAGCTGAAAGACAGCAACAGTGTTGATGTAGCTATCGATTTTATCCATGCGCAGCCCGTCTGGTAACTTACATCACATAACCACATGGTACGAAGCTGAACCTGGCGTCTTGTTCAAATTTCCCGTTCCACCTTAAATGGCGCAGCTGTTACATTCCGGCCACCGGCGCCAGAGCGCAACTGCTGCACTATTTAAGGTGGAACGGAAAATTCGAATAAGAAGCCAAACCTCGCAGGCTTAACTGCATTTAAATCGAATAAATGTAGTCAAAACAGACTGGTAAGCACGTTTACTGGCGAAGTTACCTCAGATATGGGCTCATTCGTGCTATACTCTGTCAGGTTAGCTCACATTTGAAGCCACATTACTGACGCACCGTTAACTGATAAGTGCACCTTTAGTGGGCATGTCAAACAAGTTAATGCTCAAAGTGTATGGATACTTGCGATGTATGGATACTAATGACATATATAGCACACTTTTAGCTAAATTAGTTACAACTACAACACGAGATAAAGACGAATACTCACATGTAAGGCATGAGATCCCTTCCATAGCGAGTTGTTGCGTAAATTCCTTTAATTAAGATAATTAGTAAAGGTGTAACGATTAAATCCATCCTCTGGAATCGTTGGGAACAGCAAGGAACGACGCTAATGAAGTTCATTATGCAACAGAACAAAACTAAAATGTCTAAAAGGGAAAAGAAATCAGCTCCATGCTGTAACGTCCCAAGACAGTGTGGAAAGAGCTGAAGAGTGGAGAGCGGAATTCAGGAGGGAAGAGAGATGGGGAGGGGACCAAGTCCCAAACACACGGAGTACCAAATAACACCTAACAGACACCCACCACTCGAACTCACCTCAGAGACATACTCGACTCATATTACCTCAGAAAATGACCAAATATTACCTCAGAGACCAGCCACCTCAAAAACTACAAAATATCGCCCCAAAGACCAAATATTACCTCAGAAAATGACCAAATATCACCTCAGAGACCAGTCACCTCAAAAACTGACAAAATATCGCCCCAAGGACCAAACATTACCTCAGAAAATGACCAAATATTACCTCAGAAAATGACCAAATATCACCCCAAAGACCAGCCACCTCAAAAACTGACAAAATATCACCCCAAAGACCAAATATCACCTCAGAGACCAGCCACCTCAAAAACTGACAAAATATCGCCCCAAAGACCAAACATTACCTCAGAAAATGACCAAATATTACCTCAGAAAATGACCAAATATCACCCCAAAGACCAGCCACCTCAAAAACTGACAAAATATCACCCCAAAGACCAAATATCACCTCAGAAAATGACCAAATACTACCTCAGAAACCAGCCACCTCAAAAACTGACAAAATATCACCCCAAGGACCAAACATTACCTCAGAAAATGACCAAATATCACCTCAGAAAAGACCAAATATTACCGCAGAAAATGACCAAATATCACCCCAGAGACCAGCCACCTTAAAAAAATTACAAAATATCACCCTAAAGACCAAATATTACCTCAGAAAATGACCAAATATCACCCCAGAGACCAGTCACCTCAAAAACTAACTAAATTTCACCCTAAAGACTAAATTTCACCTCAGAAAATGGCCAAATATCACCTCAGAGACAAACCAAATCTCATCTCAGAAAATGACCAAATATCAAATCAGAGACACACAACCAAATATCACCTCAGAAAATGGCCAAACACCACCTCACAAAAAAAAAAAACAGACCACATACCTCACAAACACTACACGCCTTAAAGTGAACTGAGACATGCAGAAGTAAACATTAACTGAGACACACAGGACATATGCACACAATTACATATCACCCCTGCTGAAGAAAACAGCACACACCAGCATGCATTTCATGCTGGTTTAAGCTAGTCTGTGCTGGTTTATGCTGGTCTGGTGCTGGTTTAGCTGGTCACCCCAGCATGGCCGTGCTGGTTGACCAGCATTCCAGTGTCAAAACACAACATATGCTGGCTTTGGCAGCTTATCAATTTCCAAAGCTAACCAGCATCAAAGCACAACACATACTGGGATGCTGGAGACCAGCAATGCTGGTCTATGCTGGTTATTCTAGCAAGGTCCTCAGAGAAATGACCAAAACCATGTCTCAGACAGCAAACCTGAGACCTGTATCATCTTAGAAAATTACCAGAGCTGCGCCCAAACCACACACTGCTATACCATTCATACTACACTAATGAACAGACTTTTCTTGGTGGTGTACTATTTTTGACATAGTATTTAGTATGGTAGCATGTGGTTTTGGACACAACCCAAATATCACATCAAAGATCAAAGATCACACCAGAAAATTACCAAATATCACCTCAGAGACCAAATATCACCTCGGAAATTGACTAAACATCACCTCAGAGACCAAATATCACCTCAGAAAATGACAAAATATCACCTCAGAGAGCAAATATCACATCAGAAAATGACCAGACCTCAGAGGCTGAATATCAGAGGCATCGCTAGGACAGTTTTAGGAGGGGATTTTAATCCATCCCTGGTCCCCAGAGTCAGATTTATGTCACTTTCTAATGAACTGAACATGCTAAAAAGTCCATGTAGTTACTTATCTTTTTGGTATTTTAGTGTTTCTCCTGCTCTAAATCTGAACAAATCAACTCATTGAATATTAACATACTGCTCACGGGTTTAAAATGGATATTACTAGAGAGAAAAAATAACATCTGCAGCTTCATTCAACCAAGTATACATGTTAACTTAATGGCTGTACAGGCATGTATTCTTTCATGCTTCCTCAGTACGGAAGAAGAAGAAATCTCACACAAATGATCTATTGGCAGTGCAGGTTACACACCAGGCTGCACATGCTACAAATGCTACAGAGCCATAAGCTGGGCAAAGAGGCATGCAAAGTATTCAGTGGTTCAAATATCAAGGGTCATTGTCAGTCAAGGTTCAACACCTCCTTCCATGGTTAGAACACAATCAGCAAGCTAAAATGCACCTACAAAAACATCTACTGGTATTTTAAGACACTTGGAAAGGGGGGTTGGGGGGCTGCAGGCATGCACAGTATGTGGAAACACATATGGGAAGGGTTTTAAATGAATGATGGTCAAATTATGATCTAATTGATCATTAAAATTCTTCAAGATGCGCAGATCATTTATTACAACAATTATGGAAAAATGAACCACACATATCTTCTCTTCACACAAAAAAAAAAAGTGGTGGTACATTCAAGGTAAATCTCAAATGGAAACTCAGTATTCTTTAAAATTTTCAAGCTTTGTCAGCAGTTTTTACTGTAAAGTTTTCACTGGCATGAGTAATAAACATCTACTTATGACGATCAATATTTATGAGAGCTTATTTTGGCAAGCCAAGGAGCATGGACTTCAAGTACCTAATAAAAAAGCACTCACCTCACCTACAGGAAGCTGGGTGATTTACGTCTTTCTTACCTAACATTGCTGTCTACAGTAGGACTGCATGATAAGGAGAAAATACTTATTTGTATTAAAATAAGTATTAAATACTTATTATATTGCTTCATTTTGTGATCTGCCTTGCAAAAGATTAGAAACACATTGGTAAATCAATAATGGTGGACAATTAACACCGATGTTTAGATTTGACTGATATTTCAAACCTATAATTGATGATAAATTTATTGAGCTCTGGGAGAGCAAAGTGTTTCGCTGGCTTTGGGCTACTACACTAAAATTTTGGCCTTTTATGTGTATAAATCAGAATTGACATCAACAGAGAATATCGTATATCAGCATTGACACATATCGCTGCATTTTGTAATATCAGTATTGAAAAGGAAAATATCGTAGTAAAAAATAACAATGAATTTCAGGCTTTAAACTATGGTGACATGCAACCAGTTTGCTCTTCAGGCTAATTTTGACATAGAATGTTATCGAGTTATGTCACCTTGAGCACCTTGACCTCTTTAAACACTTCCTAATGTCATTGTTCAGTCAGACTGCTGTGGAAAAGCTTTGTCTGATTTCTTCAAGCTCCGATACTCTGCTACTTTCTCTCAGAGGGGTTTAGATCTGGACTGTTGTTTGTTAAACCATGTTTGACTAGAGGAGGCTTGTTTTCACTATTGGCTTGCTGCTTGACCCACCTGCAACTCAGCTCCAGCTCACAGACGCAGGGAACTATTTCTTTGACACTAAACAGAACTTGCGTTCCATTCTGTGATGACCAGAGCCAAGTCCCAGTGCAGCAGAACATCTCCAGTTCACAATGCTGCCACCATCACATTCAACTACTGGCATGTTCTCAGGTATAATGGAACACAGTTCTGTACAGTACCACTGTTCCAGACCGGTTGAGGATTATTTGGGCAGTTATAAATTAAACAAGTGTTCATGTTTTTCTTCACCTCCCACCTTACCACTCTGCTGTGAATTACGATTTTGCAGTGTGTCCTTGTTATAGAAAACCAAATCCTGCCGCCCTTGGGCCTGCATGCGTCCAGGATCATGGTTGCCGGTTTACCTGAAACAGGTGTGTTTGGGAGCTAATGTTTGGTTCCACATCAAAACTTTATGGATTGGAGGCCAGACAACATCCATCATAGTGAGACATAGTAACAACATATTAGGAAATGAAGTCAAAATCCATCTGTTTTATCACTGTAACCACAGCTGAGTATCTCTGTGCAAGCATTTTAAAACTATGAAGTTAGAGAATAAATCCATTTTTTACAACTTATTTTTCTTTTAAGAATTTTAGTACTTTTACTAAAAAACATACAGTTTGAAGTTACCAAAATAACAAACCACAACCCCGACACCATGCATTCGTCACTGACTATATTGTCACTGTACCAAAGGAAATTGTTCAGGACTAATATTTATTATACAAAAACATTTATATGATCATATGACTCATTGAACTTGATATGAAACCCAGCTATCTCCTTTATTGGTATGCAGCTTTGTCTTTTTAGCCTTCAGCCCACCACAGACATTACGTTTTGGCCCCCACAGACAGAAAAGTTTGGACATTTCTCCTCTATAATAACATAAGATATTGCAAACAGAGTAAAAATGCAGAAAATCAGAAGAAGTAGTGTAAGTCATCCTGGCACTGTAAAAACTGCAGTACTCAGACAGATATCTTAAACAAACATAAGAGAAAACACTGTATTCTGTACATGCACTGACAAAAAGAACTGAGTAATTGTAAAGGTTTTTAGAGGCTGATCTGTCACTCAGACTGACTTTGTTTTTGGTCCCATTTTGTAAAAAGATGGATCCATTTGGGAATAAATTGAAAAAAGGTTTTATGTTATGCAGAATCAAAGCAGTAATCTACAAGGACCAAAGCAGGACTGACCCACTGACTCACATAACATGCACCATCACAGTGTTTACATAGGGGTTACACTGCCACCTACTGGGCACCAAATTAACTACACTGTTAAAAGAGCTACATTCAAAGGTAGCTGATGTGGTGGCACCTTTAGAATCAGTGTCAAACTGAGTTCCTTCTGGATCACAGCTCTGATGAGTTTTATAAGGTGCATTTAACTCTGCAAAGCTGTGAACTGATAAAAATCCATTTCCACACCCCTAATTCAAAATAACACCTATTGCAAACATTTTTTTATCTATTTATTTTTCTACATATAGACATGAATGATACTATCCACATATGTTAACTCAATCACTTTCACATAAACCACCTACAAGCATGAAGATCTGGTATGTTTTCTGATTATGTCTAAGAAACTTTTAACCAGAAATCTTAACTGGTAGTTACCCTTTACTGGTATTTAGCAATGTTCAGGGCATAATGTTTTTTATGGCTAAGGAGAAGTATTAATGTAACATCAGCACCACTTTGTGTACAGCGGTCCCAAAAAGTATTTGGGAATTAGTCATGAAACAAAATGTCAAATCTAGTCGTTTTAATAATTAATTTATTCTTTGAAAGGCTGAAGCATTTTTAGAGACCTTAAAGATTACTTTAAGACTGACATGTCATTATTTTTGCTTAGCAGAGTTTATGATTTTTTTAGATTGTCCTGAGTCTAGTCAGTCTATTAGTCTGACTGAGTTGTGGAAATCCATGTGCTAAACATTGGATAACGATACATAAATGAAAAGCCTAGAATATCTGTAAAGAGAATCTGAGCTTTTTTAATCAACAGTCATTTGATGTTATTAAATTCTGTGCTATTTTTACACTACATTTATGTTCAGTAATTAACTGAACTGCAACTTCTGGTCAAACTCGAGAAGAAACTACAGTGTGTACCAGAAAGTATTTTAGTTGTAAGACTATTTGAGTTTTGCTGACATCGTGTGGCTAAAATCAGAACAACATCCCTGCTGGAAAAAACAGTACCTGGTCTCAACTGGTCTACGCTGGTTTAGCTGGTCCCCCAGCATGGTCATGATGGTTGACCAGCATACTAGCAACCAAAACACAACATATGCTGTTTTTGTTGGTGATCCATGTAATAACTTCCATTGCTGCTGACCAGCACACCAGCATTCAAAACACAGCATATGCTGGTATGCTGAACGTTTGCTGGTGAGCAGTGATGCTGCTCTATGCTATTTTTTCTAAGAGGGATGTGAAATTTAGAGATTTCAAATAAACATCACAAAATAAACCTTTCTCTGCTGAAAAAACAGCTTCCATGCTGGTCTATACTCTGTCTGTTACTGGTTTAGCTGGCCACCCAGCACACCAGCATCCAAAACACAACATATGCTGGTTTCTTCACGGAACAAATCACATAGTGTTGTAGGTGTTTTTTTTTTTTTACTGTGAACGTTAGACGGTGAAAAGTCCACTCCAAAAGCAAACCAAGGGCGTGTCCACCGAATGCTCTGCCCTTTTTGGTTTTTATCTGTTTAACTCAGCTCAGCTGACTCACTGTGATGTGTGCGGTGAGAACAGGCCTGAACGCAGCCCAGTAGCGACTTATTACCAGTTTTAAAGTTTCACACTGTTCGCAGTCTGTCAGTATGTCGTTGTGTCAAACCGGACAGTCAAAGATCCCAGCTACTGTTTTGGGGACGATGACGTTTGGAGGGAGTGCAGATGCAGACCTGAGCAGCAAAATGGTCCAGGTGTTTCTGGAGCGCGGTCACCAGGAGCTGGACACTGCCTTCATATATACAGGTGGACAGTCAGAGAAAATAATAGGAGGCATGCAATTTCAAGACAGGTATGGCCTTTGATAGCAGTCCCTGCAACACAATACTGATGATGTAACCTATAAGCACCATATGGATTGCTTCACTTTCATTGCCCACCTTCCAGTGACCTTAACAATACATGTACTTCTAGCTCAGCTTTGGAATTGGGCCAGGAGGATCAAAGCTCTTTCCTAAGTTTCCTGCAAGGAATGTCCTCAGATAGCCTTTTTAGAACTTGGGTAAAATTGCCCATTTGGTGCACTCTGTGCATTAAAATATTGTTTATCGTAGCACTCAGTAATTCCCAGTTCTGGGGAGAGTCCAGCACAGTTTAGTGCTGTTTTTCTTGAACAAATAAAGCAACTAAACCTAAAAATTAAAGAGGCACTCAGGCATAAAACTAGCATCAATCAGACTCCTCTGTTCCCTCCTCTGTTAACTTCATAGTCGTGATGTGATTAAATTGCTGCAAAACTAGACAATCAAACAGAGGCCAATTTTAATATCTTATTTAATTATTTCTGTATGTATATATGTTTTTAATTCTTGTTCCCCAGTTAAAATTGCCACCAAAGCGAATCCACTGGAAGGCAATTCACTGAAGCCAGAAAGTTTGCGGTTTCAGCTGGAAACCTCTCTGAAGAGGCTTCAGACCCAGAGTGTGGACATCTTTTACCTGCACTTTCCTGACCACCAGACCCCTATTCAGGCCTGCAATGAGCTCCACAAAGAGGTAGAGACAACCCAGCTTGTCTTGTCTTATCAAGGCTTTTACTAAAGTATCATATACCTACACCTGCCGACAAGCTGTGTATTGCTTTGTGACTCTAGAAAAAAAAACTTTTGTTTTTGTTTTCAGTGCGTGAAAGATGGTCTAGAAGTGGATGCATTACTTATTTGTTAAAGCTTAAATACTCAGATATTAGTCTTTTAGCAAAGGTTGAAACTTAACTAAGCATAATCTAATGTTATGCTAATTTAGGACTGATGAATTGGTGAAACTCACTGGAAGGCGTCCAGTTCAGAATTATTTAGTGTTTCTGACAAAATATTCACCATAATAATAAAAATAACACTAAAACATAATCTAAACAAATGCAGATTCCTCCTGTGCAGAAGAAAAGTAATGCAACCTTAAAACTAACTAATGTTAAACTGAAATTGAACCCCCCCCCAAAAAACTTCATAAAAATAAAACAAGTTGTAAGTTCGATAATCCCGCTTCAATAACAATGACAACACGCTGTACACCTGTCCTTTTAAAAGGTTTTGTTATTGCATTAGTGTGAGGATTAGATCTGGTTTTACTGAGGGGGCTCTGGCTTCAGCAGATTTCCATTAATTCTACATTTTTTTAGTCTTAGACTTGTAAAAGTGATCCATGTTGCAGATTCAAAACTGGATTTAAGTCACATATCTAGTTGTTGTTCAAAGTAATCCAGTTTCAGTAGGGCATTAAAAAAGGAAACAAACCTTCCAGGATTAGGAGTTTAAGCTGTGTAATTACTGACAATGTCATCTTTGAATTTTATTTCACTCTTTAAGTTCCTTCAGATCGCATATCTAACTTTTAATATTTTATATTATCAGGGAAAGTTCAAGGAACTGGGCTTATCCAACTATGTCTCCTGGGAAGTGGCTGAAATCTACTCCATCTGCAAACACAACAACTGGGTGCTTCCCACAGTCTATCAGGTGAAAGTGAAGAAGCATATATATATATATATATATATATATATATATATATATATATATATATATATATAAAAAAAATCTGTATTTTTTGCCTGTGTGTTATACACGGAGCCTAAAGCTCAGTTTTTGATCTGTTATCTGGTTTTTAAAGGGCATGTACAATGCCATCACACGACAAGTGGAGACAGAACTCATTCCATGCTTGCGACACTTCGGCATCCGTTTCTATGCGTTCAATCCGCTCGCAGGTACGGCACTGCTCACGTCTTTTATCGTGACCTTTAGTGTCACAGTCTTTGAAGAAGCTTGACTGTTTTGTCTGTGCAGGTGGTCTGCTTACTGGGCGGTATCATTATGAGGACAAAGATGGGAAACAACCTGCAGGACGCTTCTTTGGATCTAAGGTAGCTGCTATCTACAGAGACAGGTAATGATAAAGCTTGGTCTCAGTATATTAGAGTAGCCATTATAAAGTTTTTAAATCTTGTGTTTTTATACTTCAGTGTTCTCTTTTAAAGTGATTAGTTCAGGATTAGTTTAGTTATGCACTGGAGCTGTGAGACCAACTAATCTAAAACAAACTTACTCATGTAGTTTGTTACAATAATCTATAAACATGTACAGCCATTGTACAGTAGCAGCAGCCATTTTATAGCCTGAAATGCCCAGTTGATAACAGATAGATTAGAGAACATCATAGTCAGAGTTGCTAACTGGTGTTTAGTCACTCAGCTCCAGTGCAAAACTAAAGAAGCAAATTTGGACACTAAACATGGTTAAGAAGGAGATCGCTTCAATAGATTTTTGGCTGAACATACTTGAAAGACTACTTGCTGAAAAAGACCCGAATCATCAGCAATTCTCAGTCGCTGTAATACAGTGTAGCTGGCACAGTGGAATGAATGTATTAATTAATACATGGAGCTGAAATGATTCTGAGGGACATATGTCTTGGTGTAAAATAGCTCATTTTGCCTAGTGCCTGTTCTCAACATTCCTCTGTGATGGGGGTTCTGTGTTAAAGGTGCTCTACGGAATGATGTTCAAAAGCAGAAATAGGTGATTTTCTGTGGCATTCTTCATCTGTGACGAAGTACCTGTGTTTTAGGTACTGGAAAGAAAGCCATTTCCAAGCCATAGCTGGCATTCTTAAGGCTCTTGAAGCAGCATATGGTTCACAGAGGCCAACACTGACATCAGCCGCCATACGCTGGATGTATCATCACTCTCAGCTGAAGGTAGGAGTTCATCAATCCTAAAAGGCCTGTCTGCATCACAGATCCCAACTGATCTGATCTGGTGTCAGCTTAAAGGATTGGCATTAAGACTCAATGAATTGGTTGTGGTCTCCAGAAAGGATGGGGATGAAATCACAGTACAGAACACCATGTGTCCATAAGTATCACTTCAAATTAGTGAATTCAGCTACTTTAAGGGAACACATTGCGCACAACGCATAATGTCCATTGAAAAGCATTTCCAATAGCATCGGACACTCTGGAGCAGCTGCACATGAACCTAAGGCCGCCATGCTCAGTGCCAGGCATCGGCATAGCCGATAATAGCTGACCCACGTAGAGAATGTTCAGTGCTAAACATGACTTTATAATGACTTGTAAACACCTTGATTATCATTCAAATTGCTAAGTAATCACTGAGCCAGTTTATCGAGAACATTTGACAAGAAATGTTGGATGGTGCCAAAGGTATGAGATAGCGCTCCATCATTTCAGAGAACTACTACTCAACATCCCAAAGCTGGGGGGGCTTTATACCCCTCTGGCTGAAACTTGGCGCTGGGCATGATGATCTTAGGCTTATGTGCGGCTGCCCTAGAGCATCCCGTTCTATTAGCTTTTTGACAAAGATGGTAACAAACGCCATAAGCAATGAGTGTAGCTTAAAATAGCTGAATTCACTAATTAGATATATTTTAATATAATTAATATTTTAATTAATATATATTAATAACATCATGACTTAATTAGTGCCTATATTTTAATCTAATGTATTGTATTCTATTGCTTTATATCCATAATACTGTTTGCAGTGTATATAAAAATTCAGCTGCAGACTTCAGACAGCAGGACGTTCTCCCACACGAAGCAACACCTCTTTCCATAATCATGTGTTACTTGAATGACTTAATGTATTATTTGTATCTTGAGTGTTTCCTGGTTCTAAGCTCACTCTGGTACTTTCAGGGTGATCTTGGTGATGGTGTCATCATCGGGATGTCCACCATGGAGCAGCTTCAGGAGAACTTGGCAGCAGCTGAAGAAGGCCCTCTGAAGCAGGAGGTCGTGGATGCATTCAAGCATGGCTGGGACCTGGTGGCCCACGAGTGCCCCAGCTACTTCCGTTAGACATTGTATTGAAGGATGACACCTTTAATCTGACTTATTTTAAAAGACTACATGCATAAGTGATCATGTACCGTTGATTCCACCACTGTTACTGACAATTCAATCTAAACATTGTGTGCACACTGTAGTGCATGTAACAATATGCAGTTTATCAGAGGTAAACCACAAAACACACTGTGAACCATTGTAAAGATGATTTTGTAATGCGTCTTCTGTAATAATCACAAATGGTAAACAGGTGATGGTCAACTTACCACAGCATGAGTGAAATAAAATGATGAAAGGTATGAAAACACACATTCATCATTTCTTTGATGCAAAAGAGAACTTGAATTGAATAGATTATAAAAATTGAACAAGAAAAATATTTTTTTTTCTGTGAAGGATTAAAGAAACATAAAAGTGAAACATAATTAAAAGAATGGATAAAAATCATTTCAGTAGGTTAATATGTGGTAATACAAACACACATAACCTCACATGCAGAGGCTTAACTAAGACAAAAGCCTAAAGAAAGAAATCAGCAGGCTAAACTTTTTTTGCAACATATTTTTCTTTTAAGATTTTTAGTTCTTGTCATAAGAAAACACACAGTTTGAAGTATGTTTTGAACCAAAAAAAAAACAAACTACAACCTCTGACACCATGCAATCATCACTGACTACATTGTTACTGTAGCAATGGAAATTATTCAGGACTAATATTTATAATAGTAAAACTATCAATTATGTGATCATATGATTCAATCAGCTCAAACTGAAACCCAACTATCTCTCTTATTTGTATACAGCTTTGTCGTTTTAGTCTTCAGCCCACCACAGACATTACATTCTGGCCCCCTAGAGACAGAAAAGCTTGGACATCTCTCCTCTATAATAACACAAGATATTGCAAATAGAGTAAAAATGCAGAAAATCAGAAGAAGTAGTGTAAATCATCCTGGCACTGTAAAACTGCAGCACTCAGACAGATATCTTAAACAAACGTAAGAGAAAACACTGTATTCTGTACATGCACTGACAAAAAGAACTGAGTAATTGTAAAGGTTTTTAGAGGCTGATCTGTCACTCAGATTCACTTTGTTTTTGGTCCCATTTTGTAGAAAGATGGATCCATTTGGGAATAAACTAAAAAAAAGGTTTTATGTTATGCAGAATCAAAGCAGTAATCTACAAGGACCAAAGCAGGACTGACCCACTGACCCACATAACTTGCACCATCACAGTGCTTACATAGGGGTTACTCTGCCACCTACTGGGCATCAAATTAACTACACTTACAAGGGGCTACATTCATGGGTAGCTGATGTGGTGGCACCTTTAGAATCAGTGTCAAACTGAGTTCCTCCTGGATCACAGCTCAGATGAGTTTTATATGGTGCATTTAACTCCGTAAAGCTGTGACCCAAAAGGAACCCAGTTCCACACCCCTAATTCAAAATAACACCTATTACAAACATTTTTTATCTATTTATTTTCCTAAACACAGACATGAATGATATTATCTACATATGTAAAACTTAATCACTTTCACATAAACCACCTACAAGCATGGAGATCTGGTATGTTTTCTGATTTTATATCTAAGAAACTTTTAACCAGAAATTTTAATGGTCAGTGTTTAGCTACATGTAAAGAGTGTGACCTTTCTGTGAAGACATTGCTGAATATTCAAGACACATCTGTACCTATGGGGAAGTGTTGATGTAACATCAGCACCACTTTGTGTACAGTGGTCCCAAAAAGTATTTGGACATCAGACATGAAACAAATTGTTAAACCTTTTGTTATTATTTTATTCCTTTTTTAAGTATTCTTTAAAAGGCTCAAACATCATCATTTGAGTAGTTTCTCACACAGCATTATTTTTGCTTAGTAGAGTTTATCATTTTTGTCTAGATTTTCCTGAGTCTAGTCTGATTGTATGGGAAATCCACATCCTAAACACTGGATAAAGATACATAAAAGAAACAGCTAAAATATCTGTAAGCGGAATCAGAGCTTTTTTGACTCTTGTGTGGTGTTGATGTGTTTGTTACTCAGTGGTCTGGTGGACCCACCACATTATTGTTTTTTAGGTCAATACAGCCATAGCAATTTATGTAAAAATACCAGATGTTTAAAATACCACAAGTGTCCAGCGTAGGGTTCTCCTTTAGCAGCTGTAGCCAGTCAGCAGCCTGTCCATGTTGTCCACCCTCACACACACACACACGCGCACACACACACACACACACACACACACACACACACACACACACACACACACACTAACAGCAGGCCATGTAGGAGGAGAACAGAGTGAAGGACACAGCACCTCCACACTTTTATTCCCCGTGGGTTCACCCTAACACCACATGTGTAATATAAATGTGTGGGGGGTGAACAGAGTGAAGGCACTGAAAATGTGTTATTTTATATGTTCTTCACCGAAAATGAGCAAAGGCCAAGAAATCTGAGGTTGAAATAATAATTAATCGCATCATTTTTTCTTTTGGTAAACATTGAAAATGGGTCCCACAGACCTGAACACCACACAAGGGTTAATCAACTAAGTCGTCAGATGTTATTAAATTATGTGCTATTTTTACACTACATTTATGTTCAGTAGTTAACTGAACTGTAACTTCTGGTCAAACTCGAGAAGAAACTACAGTGTGTACCAGAAAGCACTGCAGTTATAAGACTATTTGAATTTTGCTAACATTGTGTGGCTAAAAGCAGAAAAACATCCCTGCTGGAAAAAAAAGTACCTGGTCTCTACCGGTCCATGCTGGTTTAGCTGGCCCCCCCAGCATGGTCATGATGGTTGACCAGCATACCAGCAACCAAAACACAACAAATGCTGTTTTTGTTGGTGATCCATGTATTAACCTCTGTTGCTGCTGACCAGCACAGCAGCATTTAAAATACAGCATATGCTGGTATGCTGAACTTTTGCTGGTGAGCAGTGATGCTGCACTTTGCTATTTTTTCTAAGAGAGAAATCAGGGATAGTAAGTAAACATCACAAACAAAACTTTTCCCTGCTGAAAAAAAAAAACAGCTTGAGTTCCATGCTGGTCTATACTGGTTTATGCTGGTCTGGTACTCATTTAGCTGGTCATCCAGCACACCAGTATCCAAAACACAACATATGCTGGTTTGCTGCTGGTTTTCTTAGCAGGGACAAACCACATAGTATTTTTTTGTAAGAACAGCCCAAATCAAAAGTCCACTCCAAAAGTAAACCAAAGGCGAATCCCTCGAACGCTCTGACCCTTTTTGTTTTTCATCTTTTACCTCAGATCTGCTGACTCACTATGATGTGTGCACTTCATTTAGCTGCCCAACTTGCAGTGACCTAAACAATACATGTACTTATAGCTCACTTGGACTTGGGCCAGGAGGATCAAAGGTCTTTCCTGGGTTTCCTGCAAGGAATGTCCTCAGATAGCCTCTTTAGAACTTGGGTGAAATTGCCCAACTGGATGCACTCTGTGCATTAAACTATCGTTTACGCAGGACTCATTAATTCCAGTCCTGGAGAGAGTCTGCTAACGTAGCCAAGGATGTTGAGGCTAAAAAAACAGAAACTGGGCTTTTTTAGCAGTGACGACAGCCATCCAGCTTCCTTCAGCATTAGCCAGCTGGCAAGGAAACAGTAAACATGTCTACCCGCCTGCTCTTAAGTGTCCACACAAAAGCAGTTGTAGTTTTCCAAGAGCTCCTTCCACCTTCAAGAACACCTGGTCTAAACTGGTCCATGCTGGTTTATGGTGGTCTGTTGCTAGTTTAGCTGGTCACCTTGCATGGTCACGCTGGTCTACCAGCATCCAAAACACAATTTTCGAGTTCCGACCGTGCCTTCAGCGTTTGGTGGTAGTATGAGGAAAGACTGATTGAGGGAGGGAGGTGAACTCTGAGAATTTGGGCTGGAGTTCTGGGAGGCCTTTGCCTGTAGCTAGAAGGCTGGACTCCCTTGCAATTGTGGTAGGACTGAGGAACAGGGAGAAGATGGGGTGGTGGTGGGGATCGCAAGAACTTAATGGGGAGTGGAAGGTAAGGATTTCAACAGGGCATGCGAAGAGGAGGCGTTCTAAGCACCCCCAAAACTAGAGGTGGGTAATCCAGATCCAAAAAGTAAAAACCCTCCCCAGGATTTTGTTCCAACTGCCTGAACACCTTTGCTGCTGGTTTGAGCAAATTAGAGAAATCAAGCAGTTGGAACAAAATCCTGGGGAAGGTTTTTACTTTTTGGACCTGGATTACCCACCTCTACCCAAAACTGCAGTTATTCCATAACTCCATCATATGATGGTTTTGCTGGTGATCAGCTTAATAAATTCCATTGCTGCTGATCAGCATGCGAGCATCCAAAACACAGCATATGCTGGTTCTGCTGGTGACCAGCCATGCTGCTTTATGTTGTTTTTTTTCCCAGAAGAATGTGAAATCAGGGAGGGTAAGTAAACATCACAAACTAAACCTTTCCCTGCTGAAAAAAAAACCAGCTTAAGTTCCATGCTGGTCTATATTGGGTTGGTCTATACTGGTTTGGTTGTAGCTGGCCACCCAGGACACCAGCATCCAAAACACAACATATGCTGGTTACTTCACAGAAGACACCACATGGCATTGTAGATGTTTTTTTTTGTTTTTTTTTGGAAGAACAGACCAATCCTGTGAATGTCAGATGGTCAAAAGTCCACTATAAAAATAAACCAAGGGCGTGTCCCCTGAATGCTCTGCCCTTTTTTGTTTTTATCTGTTTAACTCAGCTCAGCTGACTCACTATGCTGTGTGCAGTGAGAACTGGCCTGTACACAGCTCAGCACAGACTGATTACCAGTTTTAAACTCTCACACTGAGCAGTCTGTCAGTATGTCGTTGAGTCCAAGCGGAAAGTCAAAGATCCCAGCTACCATTTTGGGGACGATAGCATTCGGAGGGAGTGCAGATGCAGACCTGAGCGGCAAAATGGTCCAGGCGTTTCTGAAGCGTGGTCACCATGAGCTGGACACTGCCTTCTTGTACGCAGATGGACAGTCAGAGACAACAATAGGAGGCATGCAATTTCCCAAGACAGGTATGGCCTTTGATAGCAGTCCCTGCAACACAATACTGATGATGTAATCTAAGAGGACCATACAAGCCCCTTTAAAATTTGGGTGAAATTGCCCAGTTGGATGCACTCTGTAAATTGTTTAGTGTAGGTCTCATCAGTTCTAGTTTTGGAGAGAGTTCAGCACAGTTTAGTGATTTTCCTGCTCAAATAAACCAACTAAACCTAACAAAGTGGTACTCAGGCATAAAACTAGTATTTACTATGTCTATCATGTTGTGTAATATTCTGTTGTGCAGCACTGCATCGCTCAGACTGATCTGTTTGACTGAATTAATGATATTGTGTCTTTTTTGTGTTTTTGTCCATCAGTGTTTTCTTACTGCAATACCTGGCATTCATTACTGCAACCATTTACAGTCCTCCCTGTGGTGATAAATCATGACTGCTAGTATAGCCAAGGATGTTGAGGCTAATAAGTACAGAAATTGTGCTTCCTAGCAGTGACGACAGCTATTCAGCTTCCTTTAGCATTAGCCAGCCAGCAAGGAAACAGTAAACATTTCTAACCGCCTGCTCTCAGGTGTCCGCACCAAAGCAGCTGTAGTTTTTCAACTACTTTTCCTCCCACCTACAAGACACATTACCAGAAGGAGGTTTTCTAGTCTTTAAACCAGATAATCTCACTCACTATTGTGACTATTGTGGCACCACTGTAGGAGGTAAGCAGGCATGTTTACAACAGGTGAAGCAACGGTTGCATTATTGTTTTGGCCACAGTGCCCCTTTAAAGGATAAGCTGAAAGTTAAATCTTTGTGCAAGAGGACAGAAAACACCCAACTGTGCTGGATTCTGGCCCTTCAGGACTAAAATAAAAAAAAACACCCAGTGAAACATGATGACCAATTTGCAGCACAGTCAAGCATCAACAAACTTCATACTCATGATGTGATTAAAATGCTGCAGAACTAGACAATCAAACAGAACCAGAGGCCAATTTTAATATCTTATTTAATTATTTCTGTATGTATATATGTTTTTAATTCTTGTTCCCGAGTTAAAATTGCCACCAAAGCGAATCCACTGGAAGGCAATTCACTGAAGCCAGAACGTTTGCGGTTTCAGCTGGAAACCTCTCTGAAGAGGCTTCGGACCCAGAGTGTGGACATCTTTTACCTGCACTTGCCTGACCACCAGACCCCTATTCAGGACACACTCCAGGCCTGCAATGAGCTCTATAAAGAGGTAGAAGCAACCCAGTTGATCACTTCTCGTCAGGGCCTTTACCAACGTATCATGTACTTACACCTGCCAACAAGCTGTGTATTGCTTTGTGACTCTTAGGTCCACTGCCAGAAGAAACAAAACCAAACATTATTACTTACAAAAAAACTTCAGTTTTTGTTAAGTGCATGAAAGATAGTCTAGAAGTGGATGCATTGCTTTTCGTCAAACCTTAAATACTCAGATATTAGTCTTTTAGTAAAGCTTGAAACTTAACTGAACATGAACTACTACTCCGTTAATTTAGTACTTATGAATTGGTGAAATGGAATAAGTCCTGTTTAGAATTATTTTGTGTTTCTGACAAAATATTCACTAAAATAACACTAAATTGAGTTCATATGATATATCTTGTTGTTGCTCAATTTACAGTGCAAGTAATCCAGTTTCAGCAAGACATTAAAAAAGGAAACAAACCCTTCAGGATTAGGAGTTAAAGCTGTATCACTACTGACATTATCATCTTTAAATTTGACTTTAATTTTAAAGTCTTAAATTTTTTTAAGTTTGAACATTTTTTTAACATTTTATATTATCAGGGAAAGTTCAAAGAACTGGGCTTATCCAACTATGCCTCCTGGGAAGTGGCTGAAATCTACTCCATCTGCAAACACAACAACTGGGTGCTTCCCACAGTCTATCAGGTGAAAGTGAAAAAGCATATATATATATATATATATATATAGGACTGTATTTGTTGCCTGTGTGTTTCAAACGGAGCCTACAGCTCAGTTTTTGATCTGTTATCTGGTTTTAAAGGGCATGTACAATGCCACCACACGACAAGTGGAGACAGAACTCATTCCATGCTTGCGACACTTCGGCATCCGTTTCTATGCGTTCAATCCGCTCGCAGGTACAACACTGCTCACGTCTTTTATCGAGACCTTTAGTGTCACAGTCTTTGAAGAAGCTTGACTGTTTTGTCTGTGCAGGTGGTCTGCTTACTGGGCGGTATCATTATGAGGACAAAGATGGGAAACAACCTGCAGGACGCTTCTTTGGATCTAAGGTAGCTGCTATCTACAGAGACAGGTAATGATAAAGCTTGTTCTCAGTATAGTCGAGTAGCCATTATACGGTTTTTATACTCTGGTTCTCACTTATAAAGCGATTATTTGTCTAGTGTGCAAAGTCTGTTTTCTTTAGTTATGCACTGGAGTTATGAGGCCAACTAATCTAAAACAAACTTACTTATGTAGTTTGTTGCAGTGTATGGCAAATATAAACATGTACAGCCATTGTACAGTACAGTAGCAGCTATTTTATAGCCTGAAATGCCCATTTGATAACAGGTAGATTACAGAATGTCATACAGTTGCTAACTGTAAGTCTCTCAGCTCCAGTGCAAAACTGAATAAGCAAATTTCGGCTAAGAGTCTACTGGAAGGATTACTTCCTGAAGAAGACCTGAATCATCAGCAATTCTTAGTAGTTGCACTAGAGTATAGCTGCAGACAGTACAGTGTAGCAGTGTAGCTGGCACAGTGGAATTTACGTATTAAGTAATAAGGAATGGAATGATGAGGTTGAGGGACATATATCTTGGTGTGAAATGGCTCATTTTGTCTAGTGCATCTATTATGACGACTGTTGGAATGGAATGAATTCCAACAAATAAGTGATTTTCTGTGGCATTCTTCATCTGTGATGAAGTACCTGTGTTTTAGGTACTGGAAAGAAAGTAATTTCCAAGCCATAGCTGGCATTCTTAAGGCTCTTGAAGCAGCTTATGGTCCACAGAAGCCAACTCTGACATCAGCCGCCATACGCTGGATGTATCATCACTCTCAGCTGAAGGTAGGAGTTCATCAATCCTAAAAGGCCTGTCTGCATCACAGATCCCAACTGATCTGATCTGGTGTCAGCTTAAAGGATTGGCATTAAGACTCAATGAATTGGTTGAGTTCTCCTAAAATGATGGGGATGAAATCACAGTACAGAACACCATGTGTCCAAAAGTATCACTTCAAATTAGTGAATTCAGCTACTTTCAGGAAACCCATTGCTGACTTACTGAAAAGTATTTCCAATAGAATGGGACACTCTGGAGCAGCTGCACAAGAACCTAAGGCCGCCATGCTCAGTTCATCAGCTAGAGTGAGCATTGAGCTGTGGAGCAGTGGAGCAGTGGAACTGTGTTCTCTGGAGTCCAGTACCAGTACTAATCATCCAACATCAGTGCCTGACCTCACTAATGCTTTTGTGGCTGAATGCATTCAAATCCTTGATTATCATTCAAATTGCTAAGTAATCACTAAGCCAGTTTATTGAGAACATTTGAGAAGAAATGTTGGATGGTGCCAAAGATATTACAGTCATGGCTGAAAGTGTTGGCACCCCTCAAATCTTTCCAGAAAATGAAGTATTTCTCCCAGAAAATTATTGCAATTACATGTTATGTTTTGTTATACGCATGTTTATTTCCTTTGTGTGTATTGGAACAACACAAAAAACAGAGAAGAAAAGCCAAAAATGATATAATTTCACGCAAAACTCCAAAAATGGGCCGGACAAAATTATTGGCAACTTAATATTTGGTTGCACACCCTTTGGAAACAATAACTGAAATCAATCGCTTCCTATAACCATCAACAAGCTTCTTAGACCTCTCAACTGGAATTTTGGACCATGCTTCTTTTGCAAACTGCTCCAGGTCTCTTTGAAGGGTGCCTTCTCCCAACAGCAATTTTAAGATCTCTCCACAGGTGTTCAATGGGATTTAGATCCGGACGCATTGCTGGCCACTTCAAAACTCTCCAGCGCTTTGTTTCCATCCATTTTTGGGTGCTTTTTGAAGTATGTTTGGGGTCATTGTCCTGCTGGAAGCCCCATGACCTAGGACGCAAACCCAGCTTTCTGACACTGGGCCCTACATTGTGACCCAAAATCCTTTGGTAATCTTCAGATTTCATGATGCCTTGCACACAGTCAAGGCACCACAGGTGAGTTTGAACGAGCATCACATGCTTGAAACAAAGTTATTTACCCACAATTTTGAAAAGGTGCCAATAATTTTGTCAGGCCCATTTTTGGAGTTTTGCGTGAAATTCTATCATTCTTGGCTTTTTTTTTCCTCTGTTGTTTGTGTTGTTCCAATACACACAAAGGAAATAAACATGTGTATAACAAAACATGTGTAATTGCAATAATTGTCTGGGAGAAATACTTCATTTTCTGGAAAAAATTGAGGGGTGCCAACACTTTCGGCCATGACTGTAGATAGCGCTCCATCATTTCAGAGAACTATTACTCAACAGCCCCAAGCTGGGGGGGCTTTTTACCCCTCTGGCTGAAACTTGGCACTGTGCATGATGATCTTAGGCTGCTCCAGAGCGTCTCATTCTACTGGCTTTTCTACGGAGATGGAAACAAGCTATGTGCATGCAACTGAATGCCACTATAAGCAATGAGTGCAGCTTAAAGTAGCTGAATTCACTAATTAGATGTATTGTAATTTAATTAATTTAACATAATTTATTAATTAGTGCCTATATTTTAATCTAATGTATTGTATTCTATTGCTTTATATCCATAATACTGTTTGCAGTGTATATAAAAATTCAGCTGCAGAATTCAGACAGCAGGACGTTCCACACATGAAGCAACAGTTCATGTTTTCATAATCATGTGTTACTTGAATGACTTAATGCATTATTTGTATCTTGAGTGTTTCCTGGTTTTAAGCTCACTCTGGTACTTTCAGGGTGATCTTGGTGATGGTGTCATCATTGGGATGTCCACCATGGAGCAGCTTCAGGAGAACTTGGCAGCAGCTGAAGAAGGCCCTCTGAAGCAGGAGGTCGTGGATGCATTCAAGCATGGCTGGGACCTGGTGGCCCATGAGTGCCCCAGCTACTTCCGTTTGATACCGGCTGCATTTAAGGATGACTCATTTACTCTGGCTTTTAAATGAGCACTTCTACAGTTTTCATTTTACTAAAAGATCTAGTAGAAAGTTGTGTCATTTTATAAGAATCTATAATCAGATGAACAAACTTATTTTAAGACTACATGCATAATTGATCATTTACTGTTGATTCCACCACTGTTACTGACAATTCAATCTAAACATTGTGTGCACACTGTAGTGCATGTAACAATATACAGTTTATCAGAGGTAAACCACAAAACACACTGTAAACCAATCTCTTTAGCTTAGAAATCATTGTGAATTAGCACCTATTTTGGTGAAGATGATTTTGAGTTATCTGTCATCTGTAAGTAATACAAATGGTAAACTGGTGTTGGGTAATTTACCACAGCATGACTGAAATAAAATGTAGTAATGTGTGAAAAACACCCCTTCATTATTTCTTTGATGCAATATATCCCAAAATTGTATAAGAAAAATGTTTTTACAGGGTTACAGGAACATGAAAATGAAACATAATTGAAAGAATGATAAAAAATGGATAAAAATAGTTTACAAGTTCACACAAGCACACGTCCTCACACCCAGGCTTAACTAAGATAAAAAAGCTTAAAGAAAGAAATCAGCAGACTAAACTCTAAAAGTCGAGAGAGAGAAAGAGAAAGTGATGGGGGTGAGAGCAGGAGAGGGTCAGTCTTTCCTGTCTAACACACTTGGTCAAAACAGTTATAACTGCATGCAAATTATATGTAAATTCGTCCATCTACATATAAAATAGCTGATTCATCATGACAAATCAAAATATAATGCAGACTTGGACGGGCTCAGAAACAAAACTGAACACCAGGGGCGTCGCTTGACCAGTAGCCCCCACCAAATGAATGTACATTATTAGTTCAAATCAAAAGTATTTTTCCTTTATTCTTCGTTGTTCTGCGTTATAACTGTGCCATCCTGCCTCCAAATTCACAATATACTGTGATAGCATGGTGAGGACTGCAGGAGGCGCTGCTGCACCTTTAATCCTCTGGGTTGCTACCAGATATTTTCTAAGGTAACAAGGCTGGCTAAGTCAATCGTATCACACATTATAAGCTGTAAGCCAATCACATCAGACCTGGGGGAGGGGCTCTGGTGCTACTCTGCGAAGTAAGGTCAGACGGCAACCACAGGATTTTAGCTATAATTCCATTCAAATAAATATTAGGCCTCATTCAAAATATATAATTCAAACTGTAAAACAGATAGTTGTGGTCTTAAAATCTGATTGGCTGAGCCACGTTCAAAGCTATAAAATACTGGCACAGCTAATGCATCATCACAACAGCTGAATTCTGTATTCCTGCGCCGCGTCACGAAAAATAATCCTCACATGGACCACAGAGTGTAACTTACTGATGAACTAAGAACCCGTTCTTGTTTAAACTAAATGTAGATAGATTCTTTAGATAGAATTCCCGCTAATGTACCTCTAAGCTAGCAGGCACTGCAAGCTTGGCTCCTCCTCCACCACAGCTCTCTCACGGCTCTCCTGGGCAGAAAGGCTCACTCCCAGCAGCAGTGGCGCTCCTGAAGACACAAACTCACTGTCGTCTTCCTCAGTTGTCACACAAACAGAGTGCTCTCTTCTATGAGCTCTGTAGCTTAGCTTAGCTGCTAGTATCTGGATAGTCTGAGTCTCCCTCGTCAAGTAAGAACCTTTTTTATTCTGACACCAATAGTAGCATTCACCACTTAGAAACAAGAAACACAACCAGAGAACTTGTAGTGAGAATTACCACTCTGCAATGTCTTCCAAGTTTCTCAAACGCTAGAGGGCGCTCCTGAGCGAGTCCAAAATGAATTGGTTAAAATGGAGCATTTGAGCAAAATTATAGTTTCTAAATGCTTAAACATTCACAATGTAAAAGAATACAATCATAAACATTACAGCATAAAACATTTTAACATTGTAGGTGTATTTTTGAGCACTTTTGAACTTGAGTTATAGGCACCTTTTGTACGTTCACAATGTCAGTGAGCAAGCCAATGGAGTGGCTCAGGTTGCCAACCAATCAGCACCCAGTAGCAGTAATGCCAACCAATCAGCACTCAGTAGCAGTAATGCCAACCAATCAGCACTCAGTAGCAGTAACGTTAGTGTCCTGCTGCCCAAAATCTGTTTGCAGTAGGAAAAAGGAAATATACAGGTTAGTTTTCTTTGCTTTTTTAGTGAAACACATATTTCTACTTTCCAAAATTAAAAGATAGTTCTGGGCGAGTGATTAGAAACTATTTTAACTTTTCCTTTTTAGCCGTTTAGCTCGATTTACCCCCATTCATTGAGGACTCACTCGCGGGCGCCCTCTGGCGTTTTAAAGTGATGTCTTTAATATAATGGTGGAAATAGAAAGAGGTCGGGCTCCTCAAAATCTGGCTCTGACACAGCTTACGCACAAGTCAGCCACACCACCCCTGTACGGTACAGAAGGCAAGGCTTTAGAATAACAGCTAGCAACAAAATCTATGTCTCTTCACAGGTATGTATCTTAACTAATTCATATATAGAAACTCAGAAAACAGCATATCTGAGATTAGCGAACATGGTTAGTGAACACCACGCACCAGTTTTAACAAAGTATATTTAGGTGAAGAAATACAAACTGGAGCCCACATACTGGGGGTAAAATATCCAAGAGAAAAATCTGTTGCCCACTTAGTCCTCAAGCTTATTCACTCCTATCTTAGTCATTCTTCTCTTCATCATCACCTTTTTGCTGGTTGCCCTCTTCATCACCTGCAAACATCTCAAAGTCTCCAGACTCAGAGTTCCACATACACTTTACGATCACTTCGAATTTGGCCATTTCAAAGAGTTTTTGCAATAACTGAGCAGAGAAGTCTCTGTAAATGATCCATCTGCTTTAAAGGGACAGTATTTCTTTATGGGTGAAATCGATATGAAAGTGTAACTCCACGCCCCTCATTTTGACATGAGGAGGTGCTGCCTTCCCGTTGCAAAGCCTCTGGCCACAATATTACGACTTTTTTCTTGAAATAGTATGACTTTTTTTCTCGAAATATTATGGCTTTATTCTCGAAATATCATACTGTATGACTTTTATTCTCTAAATATTACGACTTTTTTCTCTAAATATTACGACTTTTTTTCTCAAAATAGTACAACTTTTTTCTCGAAATATTACGTCTTAATTTTTCTACTTCTAATTTTTCTAATAAGTCTTACTATACTGTTTTTATTTTGTTTAACAGTGGCCCTAAAACGCCATCGCACTTTCTTGAAAGAGAAAGTGCTGGTGCGGGAGCTGTTTCCAGTAGGAGGGACTTTTACATTAAACCGTCTCTTGGTACTTAAATGTTGCAAAAGAATTATAATGGAAACATTTCTGACAGGAAAAAGTCGAATAAATAATATACACACATTTAGTGTCACGTGGCAATTTATCACGCGCCTTTTCCACAGACAAACTGGGGAAGTTTCCATCGATATCAGACGTTTTTAGGCGGTTCCTCCACGCTGAGTTTCCGTTTGCTCAGCTCAGGTGACTCGCTATGTTGTGAACAGGCCTGAACGCAGCTCAGCGCAGACTGATTACCGGCCTTAGACTCTCACACTGTGCGCAGTCTGTCAGTATGTCTTCGTGCCCAAACCGGACAGAGAAAAGTCCCCGCTACTCTTTTGGGGTCGAATGCATTTGGGGTGCGCGCGGACGCGGACCTGAGCGGCAAAATGGTCCAGGCGTTTCTGGAGCGTGGTCACCATAAGCTGGACACTGCGTTCATGTACGCAGACGGACGGTCAGAGACAATAATAGGAGGCATGCAACTTCCCAAGACAGGTATAGAAGTTCCTGCAACACTGTAGATGTAACCTATGAGGACTATGAGAGTATGGATAGCTGAAATTCAGTGGACCACCTTACACCACATGTACTTCTTAGCCCACTTGCAATTGGGCCAGGATGATCATAGGTCTTCCCTGAGTCTCCTGCGAGCAGTGTCCTCAGATGAACTTTAGAACTTGTGCAAAACTGCCAAATCATATGCACTGAACTGTTGCTTTGCGCAGGGATCATGAGTCCAGCACAGTGTGGTGAATTTCCTGTTCAAATACACCAAATAAACCTAATAATTAAAGGGCCACTCCAGCCTAAAACTGACATGCATGTTATTTGTCAAGTTATACTGCATCGCTCAGCCACATCTGTTTGACAGAATTCAGAAATTTGCGTCCTTTTCTTACTGTATAATATCCAGCATTCATTACATAAATACATTATTGCCAGTCCCCCTATGATGATAAAGAAATCATGACTGCTGTGTAATAAACGTAGATATTTGGTTTCCTAGTAGTTAAGTCAGCTATCTGGCTTCCTTCTGCATTAGCCAGCTAGTGGGGAAAAAAAAACATTTCTAACAGCCCACTCTGAAGTGTCTTTCCAAAAACACCTCCCACCTTCAAAATGGATCATCAGAGATTGGTTCTTAGTTTTTAAACCAAAAACCACGCTAGAGACTATTGTTTCACCACTGTAGGAGGTGAGCAGACATGTTTACAACAGATGAAGCTACATTTTTCGTTTTGGCCAGAGTGCCCCTTTAAAAGTTTAATCTGGTATGCTTGAGCTCAGAGATACTTAACTGTGCTGGTGTTTGGCCTCCAGTGTTGAATTTGATAGCCAACCTGATGTGCTGCAGTCAGTACATTTGATAGCCAACATGTGTGGTGCAGTCAGTTATCATCAACTTCAGAGTCATGATGTATTAGTCCTCGTCAAGTCAAGTCAAAGTTTATTTATGTAGTCAAAGCAGCTTTACAGAAGAATCTGGGTCCAAGCCCCCATGAGCGTCGCCAGTGGCAACAGTGGCAAGGAAAAACTCCCTGAGAGCAAGAGGAAGAAACCTTGAGAGGAACCAAGACTCAAAAGGGGAACCCATCCTCCTCTGGTCGACACCGGATAACAAACAGCATTAGTATAAAATATTAGAATACAAATATTTGTGTGGTGTTGGGTTCTGCGAGTCCATTTTCAGTGTTTACCAAAAGAAGAAATGATGTGATTTATTATTATTTCATATCCCAGATTCTGTGGCCTTTGCTCATTTTCTGTAAAGAACATATAAAATAACACATTTTCAGTGACATCACACTGTCACACTGTACAGCCCCTACGCATTTATATTACATGTGGTGTTGGGCTGAACCCGTGGGGAATACAAGTGTGGAGGTGCTGTGTCCTTCACTCTGTTCTCCTCCTACATGGCCTGCTGTTAGTGTGTATATATATATATATATGTGTATGTGTGTGTGTGTGTGTGTGTGTGTGTGTGTGTGTCTGTCTGTCTGTGAGGGTGGACAGGAACAAGGACAGGCTGCTGACTGGCTACAGTTGCTAAACAGAAGAACCCTACGCTGGACACTTGTGAT